AAGAAATGTGTGGACCTTGAATAAGAAGGTTGCTATTGACCAATTAAAGATCAGTTTTATCGTTTTTAACCCTTGTTTCGACCGTCAACAATTTTGAAAAGGTGTCCTGAAAACTCAACAAAATAATCACAATTTCGGTTCATTTTTGACCACCTTTAATATTCACAAAATCACCTTTCAAAAGAGGTCAGGTGTTTGTTTTGTGAAGTACGGTATATAGCTGGGTGTCTAACAGTAAAAATAAACCTATTTCTCCCCCCGTCTTAGCTATCTGCACCCCCAAATCATCAATGGACAGCTGGAAGGAGGCCTAATTTAGTCTGCTTTGCTATTTCATGAGTGACATCTTATTATGATCTGTGATCGAAGTTGATCTCAATGCTTGAAAGAGGGAATCAGTGTTTTCCTGTTGTATTCAATGCTGTAAAATTCATTTGACTTGCAAAGCTTTAATGGATCTGCGTGAGGGAAGATTTTATTAACAAAATTTCATTGGATGAAATAATAAAGCCACCCTATTTTCACAGGCCACCTGTCCATTCTGTATATGCATTAGAATGCGAAACCAGCCATGAATCAGTGCACGGGGCTGCCGTAGCTCTTTGCTTAGAGGAAGTCAAACTAACTTCACCGACATTACGTTCTTTCCAAGAACCAGTACGAGTGCAGCGGATCGCAATCCAAGGTGTAACGGGGTTACACGTACTCTGGTAACAGGGGGGTTGTCACATGAGATGGGCATGGTGTAACTGCACCCAAACAAGAATACAATATGTGGCTAGGTAGTCAGTAGTTATGCATGTATTTAGATTTTACTATAGATATTTGGGAAAATCTAAACAATTAAAATTAGACGGCTTTGCCGCAGATAGAAAAAATAAAAATCAGTTTTGAGTTTAGACCGAAGAGTTTATTAGCCTTGGTTAGGGTACTAACTACTCTTGGAGGTAGCGGACTGCGATCCGCTACATTCGTATTGGTTCTTGTAAAGAACGAAAGGTCGGTGACCTTAATTACGCTTCCTCAAACGCTAAGCTACGGCAGCTCCGCTGCATTAACCAAGACAAACGAACGCTTATGTGCAGAATCGAAATTGTATTCGATTGATTAGTTGCGGCGGAGTCGTCAATGTGTAAAACCCTAGGTTTCTGGTGAATATAGTAATACCTAGTTTATATAGAAAATACTAATTGATCTAGTAACATGCATTAGTACTGGCAATCCTGCCACTGGTGGCTTCTTGTTGCGGTGTAGCCACACCACTGTGTGATTACACCAACTTGTGTAATCCACACCTATGTATGGTCGCACTATCCGTCCTTTCATACAAGGGTACGCGTAAGCCCGTTACAATCAGCCACTTACCCCGGTTATGGATCACCCTATGCTATCGCCCGACCACTCTGAACATCAATAATACAAGAGGCTTATAAATACAAATCATCCTTAGATGAATTGTTAAAGGAAACCCGAGACTCAGCCTTGGAGTAATTCATCGTCAATAGCAGTTGTTAGTGCCTACAGTTGTTCAACCCGTTGCTGTAGCTTCTGAATTATGTTCGTCTCTAAGTAAGAGTTTAATCAGAACCCTCGAGCAAAGGTTGTATAAATCCGACGAGATTCAGGTCGCTGTTGTCATGGCATATTTGAATTAGGCAAACTAGGGGCCGTTGCAGTTGCTTATCATCAGGTGTAGTGACTAAAAAGCGTGATCGCCCGGCAGGGTCCACGGAGAACAAGGTCGATCAGAGGGAAAAAATCACACTTTAAGTAAACTACTAGTTGCAAGGGTTCCAGGTGTGATCGTTTTAGTCATAATGCACGTACTGCTAATGTTCAGGAAGCAGGCTTCTCTAAATTTTCTTTTTTACTTGAATATAATTTTGATTTCAGTGATTGTATTTGAGAGGACAAATGACTCTTTCCATGTAATACTCATGGTGACCTTCTGTTGCTTGTAATATCATGACTAACTTTGACGCTTGCAGCGAACACAGTAGACGATACGAGCAGGCAAATTGGTTGCCGCGTCGTGACCAATTGTTTCAAAATTTGATCGCATAGTTGTAGCATTGTATCTGTTGGACGAGCATAAAATTTAACCATCTCAAGGAATGTTTGCCTTTTCAAGCGCGAAAAAACCAAAAAAACTGTTCCTTGTCTTACTTTTACACTTCTTCGCTTCACTACCAAACGCCATCCCTTGTCTTACTTTTACACTTCTTCGCTTCACTACCAAACGCCATCCCTCATTCCCCGACTAAGAAGCATCTCGCTATAAACTCTAAATCCAAGATACGCATCCAAGGCGCAGTGTAACCTGTTGGGGAAAAGGTCAAATCTGCTTCTGATAGAACCTACGTGGTAGCTGCTCGATTTGTTCTGCTGCAACAAAGCCTTAGGAACAAGGCTGTGTTCAGTGTACCGAACTTGGTGTATGTTGTAACAGTGTGATTTGCTGTTGGTCCGAGAGATGGGTTGAGTCGAATTCTCATAATATATGACAAGACGGCTTGCCGTGGCGATCTGAACTCACTACTACGAGCAGCTGGATGGTTTTTCTCTGTTCAGTACGTTCACCAAAGCAACCCATCAGACTGGTACCGGCATCCTGCACTGATGCTAGAGGGAGAGTGTTGAAGAGGAGACAATGGTATACATATCAGATCTCGTTTAGCCAGCAGACGCCAGAATTTTCAGGAGGAGCATACTACAAATTATCTAGTAGGTCTAGATGTCATGAGATCCAGCCGCGAGCAGTATGTAACAAGTAGTGCTGTAAACTAAGAATTGATTATTTCACTTTGCATTTGCCATTGTACGGCTCAAGCGGTCCATTCAACAAAAGTCAGATAGACTCGTCACTTTGTGTTGGCAGAGCGTGAAATTGAGTATCGACGCCTCGTCATTACCCTGATGCAGATAACAAAAGCTAGGATTCGAAAATTTGAGCCGCAGAGATAAAACTTCACAGTTGATTATCGGGCAATTTACTTGCACAAACTTAGTGTAGTGAACGTCGAGGATCGCTTTGTTGGGTTTCTTGGCGAAATGAATTCATGCCGGATCGGGCAAGTAAAATTAGACCACGATAGCATGTCAACTTCTGCAAAGCCTCGTTTCTTGAACTTTGCCCCTCTGCAAAAACAGCACTTGACCACATTGAAAGGCTTAATAGTTTTATTCCTCGATGGGTTGCCAATCCTCACGCACAAATTGAGATCACCTGGAAGCTCCAAGTCGAAAATTCTCAAGTACCTCAAGGCTTACGTTTGCTCATGTGGCTTACCAAGAAAGAATCAATGGGATGTGTGTCTATTAGAAGAATTTGCTTCGCCAAGTACTAAGTGCAACGTTAGCTTCAAGGTGAACTCGCCTTCACCTCCGATTCTTACCGACTACAGGTAGACAATAATAAGAGAATGTGAGAGTGGCCACATCATCTCACCAGATACTGGTTATGGCCCTGACAAAACTCCAGCGAAAAATACAGCTCACATGGAAGCTTCATCTTTTCAGTGGGCAGAGCCGGTGGGGGTCACCGCTCCCATGAGCTTTCAAAAATTTGAAGGCGCGGCGAGTCTAAAGAAAAACGCATCCACATTTTCGTGGGTCGTCGTTCAGACAGCCTTCAATCGAGTCTTATGGCTTGATGTACTCCAAACTTTAAGAATCAAAATGCTGTTTTTGAGCAAATGGTTACAACTATATTGATACATTGCATCGCTTTCAACAGTACGCATGAGCCGCCCATTGGAGCGAAGTGATACGGATTCAATAGTCTCATTTAAAGCACAAAGTCAGCTCACACTTTTAGCGATATTCGAAGCGTATATCAACCGCTTTCCAATTACGACCATAAAAGTTCCGACGCAGCGACGATGCAAATTGATCTTAACTTCGGACACTGCATTGTGCATGCTGACTAACAGTTATTGTTACTACCTAACCGTATAATGTTACGCTTCAATATAAGTGACTCCCGAGATTCTCCGAATCCCAACCAAACCTCTTAGCCCTATAAGTTTCGCTGATATATTTTTGGCCATAATGATTCAAAGTGTGAGGAATTTTCATTGATAAACTTTATTATTTTTGCCATGGAAAACACCGAAGAGCTTCTGATGACAGTATTTGGTCTAAATAGGTTTAAAGTTGCACACCTGAAACGACTTTCGAGGTTGCCTCTCTTGCCGTGCCCTAAGATCGCTTAATCCCCTTTACAGAGAAGTGATGAAAAGCTGTGCCATGTCACCGTAATTCGCGTTTTGCTTTACAAATAATCGGCAGAGCAATCCAATAGAACTCGGCGATGCATGGTATATCCGTTTTCCAAAGAGAAAGAACCCAATGCGTAGCTGCTGACAACGTGACAAACGTCTGAGTGCATTTTCCATTGCCGCCGCGTCAGAATGATGCGTCTGAATTGATCAAAATCGCTGTGGCGCGTCTACAAACGCTATGACGCGCGTGACGTAATATTGTGGCTGCTAAACTTGAAGAACGTCTGGGTGTGATAATCGCTGTCACCTGCTCAACCTCCTTATCGCGCAAATTATGATCTCTGCGTCATTTTACATCGGAGGGAGTTATTCTGATCGCCCGCCATGAAGCTCACGATAACGCCAAGCTCATTATCAACTAACTTCCACACGAGTTACGAAATCGATATCTTTTATCAGAGATAAGAAGTGTTTTGACTATCCGCCTAAGAAATTTCGACGATATCCACCTCGTCACTCACGAACTCGATCTGGCATAAAACGTCCTCCTAATCTGTCTATAATTGCATGATTCCGACAAACTTGGCTTAATCATGGCGTCGCGACTATACTGTAAGTCGTCTGAAGCTACCCACCACGCTCTTACATGCCTATGCGTGGTTCTAGCACTAGCGCAAACACAACACCGAGCTCCTACTATGGTTATAGATGATCACCCCATAGAGAGCCAGCCACCTGTGCTTTAGGCAACAGCCCGCTATCTCCATTATTAAATTACACATGGCTCTCACACCGGGTGAGAGGAAATGTGCTGTCTCGTTGTTCTTGAGACTCTAAAGCCAGCTTCAGTAAAGCAGACGCTCGACTAGAGCGTCAACAAATGCTTGACCTTACGAAGTGCAAAGCACCGCGCATATGTCAGCGGACAATCCCATCACCTTTCATTTCTTACCACACACACCCTCTCTCTTCTTTTCTTCTCCTCTTCATCTTCAAGAGATATCTGATTCTGCTATCGATCAAGTGTCGAACTTACGCTAAGGTCTGTTCCCACACCGTAGTGAGAAGATCGCAGCGACGAGCGATCATGCTACCGCCTAAGGAAGACAAAAAATGCGGAGGATGTACCAGGATAAGAGTGGCGATGGAGCCAGGGGCAAAGATGACAAAATTGAAACTCAAATTTTCTTGGTATTTTACATGCAGAATTTCACTTGACTCACAACACATTTTAAACAGCCCTGCGTTCGCTCGCTTCCAAACATTTCGCCAGAAGTGAACTATTCTTAGTTCATCAATTAATGCTGGCCCGCGACCAGCGCCAACCATCTTGCGGCTGGTTTTCGTAAGAGCTCGGGAACTAGTCGCTATTTCCAAGCATGCCATCTGCTTTATGGGACACTCTAAATTTAATATATTCTTATCTGATCACTGATTAATTGCAGCCAGTCAGATAGTATTATCGTAGCTCATTCTGGCGCAGTCACTGTTGGCATGATTGAATAGGGCTTGGCGCATTATGGGGAGATGATGAAGTTTTCTTTCGTTATTTATATGAATCTCAACGCATTTGCCCAGCCAATCGGTACTTGGAGAGGGCACTAATAGTCACTAGTCAACGATTGCAAGTGATGTGGCGGTCTTGATGAAGATCCAGTAGTGTTTGTAGGTCGCCTGAATGACTTGCTGCCTTGTGCAAAAAGAACTATGATAGTGAGCGAAATAATACCGATATTGATAAAGTATTTGGTCGTGCCATCCATTAAGGGCCTTGTCATTGCTAATCGTGTTTTCTTTTTCGACTCTTTCTAAGAGGCCAGATTACCTCACATGGTATATTGATTACACCACATCAGACAAGGCGGGCAGAAAACAGCGGGAAAGTTGTTCCCTGTAAGACCAGGACGTCGGTTTTGAGTTATCGAAGATGCTGCACTATCGGGGTTGCTTTATCTGATTTGACTCATTAGGAAATTTGCCTCTGTTTTTTTAAAGCAATCAACTTCTTCTAATTGGTGCGCCCCCAGCTTGTCGTTCCATTTTACACAAGAATCCGATAGATCTCGTTTTTCACTGTCACTGCAAGGGTCTGATGACGTAGCCGCTATTGAATACATGTTGTTACCGACAGCACTATTTATGACAGATACTTGCATCGGTAATGTGCTTGTGTCCGCCGTCCAGCTCGTCAGCTCAAATTGTCCAATATGATTGGTTCAACGCGCGCTTGGGAGATGTGGATAGCGCAACATATGTGTTTGTAAATGTGAATTGTCAGCGTAAGGCACCACACGTATCATGAATGCATCACTATCATGGTTAAGACGCAGTGTTCAGCCTTGCTCGATGAAGCCCATTCTAAATATGGACTCAGCTCTTTTTTCGCTTCACAATCAAAGAAGTATTTCATACCATAAAGTTAGCGCTCAAAATTGCAAACGTAGGTTGGCCGAATGTGTCTAACGGAGTCTTCGGTTTTCGCACAATTGTCTTTGTTCAAAACGACCCTAATTATCGCATTCTAAACATTTCTGTGTTGCCGCTTGAAGTTGCACTTGGCAGACAGCCAAACTCAGTGCAATACGCAGTACTAACGTTTGTTGTAGCCAAGATGTTGTCCAAACAGCTGTGTCACGCGATAATTAAACTTCGTTAATGCACTAAAGAGCTCCTGTGTCATAACCAGCCATTCCAATAGCATCCCGCTAATAGTACGAGCGGGACATCGCTATTATTCATCATTTGGTAATATTTATAGCTAAGTCGACGGTAAAGAGCGAAACTCAGCCAGCCATGCTGTTCTGCAGTGCATTCTTTCTAGATTTCGGAGTTTGCACCGAACTTGTGGCTGCGTTTAGCTTATTTTAAGCATGCACAATTCGCCACTTACCGTAAAACAGTATCACACAGAAAATTGCCGCCGAGATTTACTTCCATTCACCAGATATGCTTAATGTTTCGAGAGGTAAAAATCACAGACGCTTTCCTTAGCAATACTCATTGCTGTGTGATGCAACATTTGGTTTCGGAAACCAAGTCGATGACACACGCGTTTATCTGAAAATAATACGCGTTGCAGATTTCTCGTCACGACGCCGGTTTATTACATCAACAAAGGATAGAGAGGATCTGTAACACTTGATATGTACTGCCTCACTCACCGCACCGAGTGCTCTGTGAGCGTTCTGAATGACAAGCTCATCCGTAACAGATGACAAACTTAGTCCCTGCTTTGATACCAAGCATATTATATCGAAAATCACGGTCTCGTACTTCCTTGCACAAATTTCCTTAGTAAAGAGTTTTTCAGCTTAACAAGAGCTTCTGCCTTAAGTGGAGAGATAAATCTCCTAGCACCTAAGACTACTCGGTCACTCTATTTACAAGTAGGCAAACTTTCCCAGCACATAGGTGGAGCTAAACTGCCCTGTACGGTGAAACATCACACAAAAATGTTGACTTTGCAGTATCTTCATCTTCACATCGTGACGGAAACGGGCTATCTTTCTGAAATTCACGACATGCTTATTTTTGTCGTGACTTCAACTCGCACTTGAATGCACGGCGCTGTCACGTGAGACTGCGACATCCAGTCGCTCCCACTTTCCTCCAGATCTGACACAGAAGACATTAGCTCACTGGTGTTTTTAGCCGTACTGACTAAGATACACGATGGGGACCACACCATGCAGTTTTACTTTTTGTTCTCAAACGCGATACATCCTGTGAAACAGCGATATCCTCTGAGTCCAGCTCAAGACACATTGTGATCTGTGCTGGACAACCCACGTCCTGCACGGAAGGTATCGCAGTTTGTGCCCCCGCCAGAATGTTTCTAATTCCTGGCAGAAGAGAACTATGACTCGCCAATGATCGATCAGAGAGAGAATGCGTGGAGCCTAAAATTTCGCTTCCAGTCGACTCATAAAAAGAGTGTGGGGCACCTAACGTTTTCATCTTCAAGTCGACCTATTGCTCGTGCTTTCCAGCCTTGAACGAATCTTTCTATCCAGCTTTGGCGCTCCAATGTCTAAACGTACTGTCTACCATTCTTGATAATCGCGCATATGCGACACTGCTGAATTAAGCTGGATGATTCGCGGCTTCACAAATCCCAGGACGTTGCAACCCCATCTCTCTTTAGAATCGTAACACCTCTTAGGACTTGGGACCATTGACCACTGTTGGTTCACAACCGGACGTTCTGCGCCTACCAAGATTTGATATTCTCCCGGGATAGGTTCGTCGTCGGGTCGTAGGTCGGAGCCCGACCTGTCATGATACTTAGCTAGGAGCTATGAAAAATGCAAGGTGCAGATGTTTAGTACTACCGCAGATGAAAGTACTGCAGGTTCAGCGGTGCTGCCTGGCAGCATAAAGATTCTTTTCTTTTCTTTGGCATGGCTGAGGTCCATAGCCCATGACATGCTCGTAGAGTATTCACTATTCAGGCCCTCGTAACACAGGAGCTGGACTGCAGATTTCATGCGATGCCCTCTGCTCCCCGAAGATGCAGCGGGACTGCCGTAGCTCTTTGTATAAAAAAACTTACTAAGGTCATGGACCTTTTTATACTAAAACTAGTACGAGTGTAGCGGATCGCAATCTGCTTCAAGAGTATTAGAAAACCTTAGCCAAGGCAAATACACGCTTCCGTTCAAATTGAAACTATATGTTTTTGTTTCAGTTGCGGCACAGCCACCTATATCTAAATCTTTAGGCTATTTAGATTAAATAGTGAAGCCAAATTTATATGCATAACCACTGGCCGTCCTCCCACGGTGTAGCCACACAATTGTGTGATTACATTGACTTGTGCAATTCACACCTTTGTGCGGTCACACCGTCTTGTGTGACCCACCCTGTCATACAAGGGGACGTGTAACCCCGTTACAGAAGAGGAAGTGTAAACATAAGAAGTTTTGGCGGGAGCAGCATCCGATTGGATATCTTTCATGAAGATGCAACCGCTGCCGCATCTGCGATTGGGACCAAACGGCATTTCGGAACTAGCGTTCTTAAGCCCTTATCATAATCTTTCGGTTATCGACCTCCTCGACAAATAAACAGCTGCTTTAAACGCTTTTGATTTGCCTAATCGAGCAGTACGAATCCCCGCAACGTTTGTAACCTCAACCTTGGGAACGCTCGCTTTTGAAAGTTTTGCACGTAAGCACCTATTCACGCGCGCGATATTCAATCCCGGAGATAGGTTGTGGAGAAAGATCGATTTCATTGCCACCACAACTTTACTGATACAAACGTAAAACTCACAGCATTCTGGCCGCAACCGCCTGGATGCTCAATCTCAGCGATCTCAAGATGGAACGTATTTGTTCCTCCACCAGTCATGGGTTACAGACATGCCCCATTACTGTGAGCTTGAAGCTGATGAGCGCTTCCGAACAAGTGAATAACGCTTCTGACCCTTGACCTCCAATTCTCTGATCCTATTTGGATCCAGAATAGATAAAATCTTCCTCAATTGGTCTATGTATCTTGGAGGCAGATATTCAAACATTTGATGTTCCATCCTCGTAGATGGTACAATGTTTCCCCAATTAGGCTGTGATATTGACTAAAAATGCTTTCGAGTAACACGGTGTTGCCGTTGGCCATACACAAACGAAGTTTTGACTCTCAGAGTCCGCGTTCACAAACCCAAGGAGGTTGGATTTGTGCGCTCTGATATCAAGCAGAGCCGATAGTCTACAAAGTCACCAACAATTTCAGTTTGCTGTGCTATTTCAAGAGTAAATTACTATATATTACTTTGATATAAGCTAATTCTACACATATTTGCTTAAGCGTTTCTCACCAGGCGATCTATATTTTTCAAAGCTACAACATGCGTAAATGAATATTTCGGACAATCGTACCGTATTTTAATAATGCAATACTAAATGCATAGGATAACATTACTTCCCACTTTTAACATCCAACTCGACACCAAAGGCACGATCGCCGACTCACTCACTCGAAATTGCCAAATCAACTTTGCCTTGAGCAGGCCACCATCACACACACAATGTCCTGCTCCGCTCCGGTTCGCGGCCCTTCAAACTGAAGTACTTGAGGCTCGATGAATACCTACTTGACACCTTGCAAATCGTATCTGCGGTCAATAATGACGCTGGGACCACTTGTGCGCTGCTAAACCCAGTCAAATTCTGAAAGAAAATTCTGAAAGAAGCGGTCGATAAGTCTCAAGGCATGGCTGCGACATGTTCCAAAGGATCCAAAAGATTGACGAGTCGGTTGAATGCCCGTTGCGCTGGACCAACCCGTCGCTCGTTGCTGCGTGTCTAAGGGCAAAGACGGTCATGAGCCCTATGACAAGCGATATGAAATTACAAGGAAACTGTACTGAAGGCGAGCAAATGCAGGCAATACACTGCCGCGCTCGATTTTCATGAAGAATCACGAAGCGTTCGGTAAAGCACTTCGTCGGTTCGGTGGATACAAGTTGGCAGCACATCTCGATCGAAGAAATCATGACATCAGATAAAGATGTCTTGAAGATCTCTCACAAGCTCCCGCTATATGCAACGTCGAAATGGATGACCCCGATGGTCCGACTCGCACGGCGCCTCCGCTCGACGACGTTGAGCAGCTCGCCTTGATCTTGCACTTCGTCTTGAACTTTGACGGCGAAATGCTTGAATCCGAGCTCACGGTAGCAGAATCCGCCAGCGTGATCCAGCACATGACGGCGACGTCGTATCTAGACATGAACGACTTTATTGCTTAGCGCTACAAAGTGGTGCCAGACATGTTTCAATATAATGACAATCTTTACAGACGACTGATTTTGACGCATTGCGCTTTTAAATATAGATCAGCGGTTGTTCTGCTGCAAGAAGAGGTCTTTACTGCAGCAAAAGACGTCTGCCAACTGATCGCGCTTGTACCATTTAGGTGACTTTGCTGATATAACATGAATGCATCAACTCCAGACCGTGACACTTGACTTGTTCATCGAAACCTGAAGAAGATTGTCGAGGGCCACCCCACCAGCCATCACAGGCGTGTCTTCGTTGCCTTGCGAATTTCGTCTTGATCTGCGACGAAGTAGCGTTATATTAAATACAGACTCGTAGAAGGCATTCGATTGCGTTGACTATGAGATCATAGTCAAATTGCTGATGCACGTTGACCTTGAACGAAAAAGATTCTCCCTGATACAGCTTTCGTTCCCAAAGCTACACGCACATCTGCTGATCAATGGCAACACTCAGTCAGCACTATATTCCACGTACGGCGCTGCACTAGCCGACCGGTATCTGCGCTGCTCTTTAATCTTATAGTCAAAATATTGATCAACCTGTTACAGACACAAGAATTGTACAGCGTGTGCTTCAGCACAGACCACACGACCATACGACAATATGAACGTTCTGCGCAGACGACCAAATTTTCTTTGCTTACATGGTAGAGTTTGAGCAGATTGTGAAGCAAAGATCACTCCTTCCAGTAAATTGTTGTTAACGGTGCTTAGTTGAAACGTAGACTGTCCACAGCTGTCTGGTGTCCAGACACCAATACTATCAACGCTTGTGCTTAGGTATCCTTTCTTGTCAGGTTTCAGCAACAGCGCAATCATTAAGTACGTTTCCGATCTAAGCTTCCACATGGTCAGCAAAGTGAGTTACCAAAGTCTTGCAGCACTCACACTTAGTGGTCGGCTCGTTGCTGTGCATAGAATAGAGCTCTCAGGCATGTGGCACTGCTCGCAGCACATCGTGACCCAATCAGCCACCTTGCAAGGCTGGATGTCGATGCTAAGCGGATTTGACCTGAGTTGCAAGCTCAACCGGAATGTGGAGCACGCGTAGTTCGTTCTTGGCAAGATCCTGATTCAGTGACAAAAATACGGTCCGTGACTTGGATGCACCTCGAGAGTTAGCGTCTTGCACCACCACTGCACTTCAGACGCGTATCATGTGCGAAAAACGAGCGCAGTTTACTACTGCGAGCGTTGAACTGCATGTGTCCTTGCTTCCCACAACGGATGATACAGCGTGCCAGAATCTTGTCACGTTTTCTTTATTACGGCACGGTGATCTGATTTAGTGAAGTTGAGCGTTGACGATAAAGATCGACCTGAACTCGGTGGTTCAAAGCCCTCTAGGAGATCACGGCGCATGGATTTCTCTCAGAATTGTGCGCAGTCGATCTGCATACAGATGACTTAATTTGGTCTGCGAGATTATCTCAACGGAACGAGGCTGCTCGATCTAGCAGCGTCCACAGCACGATAATGTAGCTTCTTGCTGTTCTGTTGAGATACACCGCTGAAAGCACGTGGATGACGTCACAAGTATTACGATAATGCTTTTATTATTTTTATGACTACGAATATAGATTACGGACATAATGATAGCCGTTCATTGGTCTCGATAAATAAGGTTGCTTGTAGAAGCTTCGAGAATGATCCGGACGGATAGGCTTAGATATAGCATAGCGTAGCGAAGGAAGAATATTCACTTCGGTTTTTACCAACAGACCAACACGTTAACAGTCGCGCCAAGAAATCTACTCAGCACGCTTCATTCTCATAGCTATGACGTCCAAGCGAACTGTTTTCCTCTTAGGCAGTGAAAACTGCTTCCACTTGGAGTTAACATGCGCATGACGCTGGCGCGAAAAGGGATGTTGGTGCACGTTCAAGCCGTCAAGAGGGAAGAGGAGATGACTGTTCAACGACGCCAAGGCGCTGGGGATCATCGTTCAGGGTATTGAACTACAGCGCCAGACCAAAATTTGGTCTGCGTCGTCGGCTATGCACGCTTGGAGTATTCTAAGGGAATTCTAAAATCGTACCACGCTTCTCGACCGTGTCGCTGCCTGCATGAGTTCAAGATGGAGAGCGGCTCGACAATGATGAAGCATCTGGATGCGCTTGACGAACTTGTTGTCGGACTTCAATCGCTTGGAGAGCCTGTTGGATCGCGACAGCCAGTGGTACTGCTGACCAGACAGATTATGACCAGATTATGGCGATTGTCGAAAATGCCATGGACATCAAGCAAATCGTGTTCAAGGAGAATTTGTTGAAAGATCAAAAACGGTTGCAAAGGAGGAGACGACAGAGAAAGCTTCTCTTGTTCACGGAAGCGGTGGGCGATATAGAAGCAATCGTGGACCCGGACGAAAAGATTACGGTCCAAGGAAGAGTAAAGGTGGCTTCAAGGGAAAGGGCTTCAAGTGTAATTGAGTCTGACACATGAAATGAGCCCAACCGGAAGCGATGGCATTGATGAAGACGCGGTGTTCGCAGTTGGCAAAAATCGGATTGATGGATGGATGATCCATCACGGTGCGACATCGCATATGAAAAAGAAACCACATTGTGAAGACCCATTTGATTTTGATGATACGATTTTGGGTATCAATGTGACCATTGCAGACGGAAAGAAATTGTGTGTACTTGGGTAAGGAACTGTTAAGCTGACTAGGATGGACGGTAAGAACATCAAAATGCTAAATGTTTTGTACATTCCAGGACTCGAAAGACGGCTGCTATCGGTTGGAGAGCTTGCATTTTTTATGCATTTTATGGAGTAAAAACAAGTCTTTAGCTCTTGGCAAAAAGGTCGACAAAGCTTTCGTTCTTGATTGCAAATTTGAGAAAGCGTGTTTTGTGGAGTAAGCCGGTGCTGACAGTCAATAGGAGCTATGGCACGAGCGCATGGGGCATTCAAGCGAGAGCGGTATGGACAAAAATCACCATGTCACGCATGGTATGCCAGCTATACGCCCTGGCATTAAGACTATGTGCAGTGGATGTATAAAGGGTAAGCAGGCCGTATCGACGATTCCTTCACAATCAATATATAAGACATCGAGTGTTTTGGAGTTAGATCACACGGACGTGATGGGACACATGTAAACGGTACCGAAAGGAGAAGCAAGATATGTGCTAACATATGTGGATGACTTTTCACGTTTCGTGTTTGCTTACTTCCTGAAAAGAAAAAATGATGTTGCCGCAAAGCGCGCCGTATATAAGACATTTTTCGAAAGCAATGGGGAGAGCAAATTAAATGCATTCGTTCTGACAAGGAAACGGAACTCGTGAACAAGAACGTTACAGCTATATGCTTTCGGGATGGTATCATGTATCAGTGGACTGTACCTTATAGTTCCCAGCAAAACGGTGTAGCGGAGCGCTTAAATCGCACTATCATGGAGAAGACAAGTAGCATGCTTCATTACAAGGGCATGTCGATGATTTAGTGGGCGGAAGCTGTAAGCACTGCAGTCGATTTGATTAATAGATCTGTGAATACTGAACGAAGTGATATGCGGCCATACGAAGTAAGTTATAAGCAGAAAGCACGAATGGAATACCTGCGTGTGTTCGGGTCCCAAGGATATGCTCACGTTGACAGGGCCAAAAGGACAAAGCTCGACCGTAACAGCTATAAGTGTATGCTTCTTGGATATGCTGAAAACGCAAAGGGTATAGTGTTTATGATTTGGAATCATCAAAAATCAAGATTACACGATCTGTTCAGCTTGACGAACGTAAATATATCGGTATTCACGACACATCGTGCTCGGAAAACTGATCAGTTACTCATGTTTCAAGAAAATGAACGAAATAGCGACCCATTTTCCTGCTGAGCGACGGCCGGTGATAGACGACCCTATGAATAGTGTCGAAAATCTACGCAAGATATTGAGATGGACGAGGTCGAATCAGAGCGCAATATCAATCTGGAGCGCCTTTAGCACTCGAAGATCAGATTGCAACGGGACAAGAGCTGACAGATTATCACTCTCCGCAAATAATTGGGAAGAATGCTGGGTGTTCCGTCCGGGCACGGAGCGGTCAAGGCGTGTTCGGGATCCAGCTCTATTACTGGAAGACGGCGTTGAGCTGGACCAAGAAGACCAAAAAAAGCAAAATATCCCCGTCTCCATAGTGCCCGAGAATATTGACGAAGATGGATTATTTGTCGAAGCAGTGTTGGCGTATGCGGCAAGGATCGACGGGGTTTCTGACATTCCAAACACATACGCTGAAGCAGTTGCAAATGATGGGGCAGTGGCGTGGCGAACAGCAATGGAGACTGAATTACTATCGCATGAACAAAACAGTACTTGGTCGATTGTATCGCGCGGAGCTACTCGTCCGATTGGATGTCTATGAGCTTTCGCTAAGACGCCTGATGAGAACGGCCGAGTCATTTGTTACACGGCATGGCTTTTATGCAAAGCGGTTTGTGGATTTTTTAGAAACGTACTCCCTTGTAAACATGAATTCGATTTGGGTTGTATTGGCTGTATGTGTCGCAGACGGATATGAATTGGAACAGCTGGATGCAGACACTGCGTTTCGAAATATCGAGCTAAGTGACCGGATCTATATGGAGATACCGCCTAGAGTAAGGACTACTGGAGATCATTTTTTTTGCTGGATAAGGCCATCTACAGGTTAAGACAAGCAGCTAGCGCCTGGAATAGAGCGGTTAATGAAGTCTTCGTTACAAATTGTGACGCGGATCAGTGCATGAATGTAAAGTTTTCTAAGAGCGGGTACATCTTCGTTTGCCTCTACGTGGACGATATGTTAATTGCACCTAAGACCCGTGCAAAGATCCGTGAAGTCAAAGTTGCCCTCAAGATTGCTTTCAAAATTAAGGTGCTTGGTGACGCAAAGTTTATCTTGGGGATGGGAATTGATCACGACAAGAGAGTCGGAACGCTTATGATCAAGCAAACACGTTACTTTGACGATGCTACGCAACAATTCGGCCAGCAGATCGCCAAGACGACCGATAACCCATGTGCATCCAATATCAAGCTTCCCAAAGAACAATCGCCAAGAACAGATGCAGAGCTACTGAAATACAGTCAATGTCATTTCGCTCTCTCATCGGTTGTCTTATGTACATTGCAAAATCTAATTCCATAATATACAAATCAAACTGTCGCACAGCTATGCAAATTAGTATCCATGATCTACTTGCCTGCGTAGTTACGCAACAACTAAGATTTCTCGAAATCCTGGAATACAGCATTGGCGAGCCGCGATTCGTGGGATAAGATACTTGAAGTTAAAGCGCCTGCATGAAATTGTATTTCAAAGAGGAATATGGTTAAAGCATTTTGGGAAAGCAACATCGACGACAGACGATCTGTATCTGGCGGGATGGTCAAAATTAGTAATGGACGGATGATGTTCAAGTTGAAAGTTAGATGAGCTGTGGCGCTGAGTTCAGCAGAAACCGAGTACATGACGCTAATCCTGTTAACCCAGGAAGTATTGTAGAAGCGCGTGATGTTGAAGGACCTGGGCAAAAAGCAGAATCGTGCAACGCAAGTCTGAAAGGACAACCAAGGGGCGATAGCACCGGCCCAGAATGCGGGATATCATGCTAGAATACAGAACGATTTAAATCAACTACGTCGACACAAAGCATCAGCTCGCGGGCATGCTTACCAAGGCACTAGGGACAAAGAAGCGGCGGATAACAAGTTTCATATTACATTGGTGGGCGCTACCGAATCAAGCAGTCTGCCGCTCGTCCTCTTAAGTGGTGTCACAGCATTGGACGGCTTTAGGACATGCTTAAACTTGCCGCAGTAAGCTCTGTTCGCCACGAAATCGCTCGGAAATAACGCGCACTTTTACCGGAAAACCTAGTAAGCATGTTGGTTTGTCGGCAAAATCCGAAGTGAGTATACTTAGATTCTTAGCTCGCTACCCTGTGCTATATCTAAGCCTATCCGTCCGAATCATTCTCGAAGCTTCAACAAGCTGCCTTATTTATCCAGACCAATGAATGACTACCATTATGTCCGTAATCTATGTAATCATGGTAATAACAGTAAACATTTCCGTAATACTTGCGACGTCATCCACGCACTTTCAGCGTTGTGTTTCAACACTCCCACTCACCGCTAATGTTGAACTTGCTTTGATTCTTGCTTCTTGATGCCTGTCTTTTCGCGGAGATACTTGAATCTTCAACGAAAGTGATCGCGCTGATTCAGACGCTACCTAGCAGTACATACCTTGCGATGGCAACTTTGAGCACGCATTAACGTTACTCCGCATGCAGACTTGCCCGGAAGGGAAATTGCCAGGCTGTCCATGTTATTACCGTCCGCAGCTATGTAATACAAACTCATGTAACAAATTGTCTTCATCGAGAATACTTTTCGCGCTGTTTATTTTGCAGTCTTCATGAGTTCAACGCTTGCGTCTTCGCAGCCCAAGACTACCAAGCAGTTACACACCACCCAGAAGGGCGACCGTTACACAATCTGCTTAAAAAGGGCGGGATTAATTTCAATCAGCTGATATAGGTTCCACTGCGGTCAGATGTCATTTGGTTTTGGATTCATCAGAATTCTTATCTCCTACTTTTGTTCCTTTATCTTTGGGTCGCGTTTCTTCACGTACCTCTTAGGTTGTATATCAGTATTAATTTTCTTAAAGTGTAAACAAGCAGCGTTGCAGTGTTCTCCCAAAGTGGTAGATGAAAGTAATCAGATTTGATGTTGCACGTCTGAAAGTGCTAAAACGCATTTGATTTGATATCTTAGTTGTTGATTACGTGACGAGCAATTGGATGATCTGAGACCAGATTTTTCTTAAAGAGTATATTCTTTGCTATTATTGGCGTCTATTTGCATAATAATAGCAGTCTATATTGAGTAAACTTAAATTTTGCGAGCCTGCCCCACCATCAAAACATCAAATTTTTTATTGATACCAAATACCAATTATTCTTGGTATATTGAGAAGTCACTTAGTCTTTTGTACGAAAGTGAACTAAATTATTTCATTCGCAAATATTTTTTCTCTATGGACTAAAAAGACCAGAAAACTTTGACGACTTGATCATGCTAGAATGTCAAAACTGCGGTGCCACAGGCGACTCGTTTTTCAGCGAAAATTATTCTGGTGAGATGGTGTGTGATCTATGCGGTACACAAAGTTTTTTACAGGCGCGTAATGAGACGCAGGAAGTCGAAGATATGGGTATGGACATCACAATGGCACTTAAGACGCTCAAGCGCCGCGACGTGCGCAAGAAAAAACGTAATGCTGATGAATTTATGGATCATGATACAAAGCGGATAAAAGAGGTACAAGAGAAGGATACACCGAAGCTACCAGAGCTGCTCGACTGTATCGTTGCTACTCAAATGGTACTGAACTTCATGTCTCGTGCTTTAATCAAACGCGTTGGAAGTAGTACATTTCCTGCTGATGAGTATCCAAAAGTTGTGAAAGAGTTGTGGTTTAAATTTTTGAAGACTTGGGGCGTCAAAGGTACAAAACCACTTATACGCTGTTATAACGAATTCTTTATGTACAATACAAGCAGGGAGGAGAAAAGTATGGACCCAGTCGTGACTTTTGACTTGATGGAGCAATGGGATGCAGAAAGACAGAAGAAAAGAGATGATGAGGAAGATAAGGAAAAGATGGATCATCAAAATGGCGTAGAAAAGTTTGACAAACCTCGAAAAAAATTAAAAGCTCGAACACCTTCACGTCGGCGCTTTGACGAGCTCAATATGTTTTCTATTGTGGATTTGATTGGAATCTTAATGATTGCATCGCGCGTATTGAATTTGGGCTTATTGCCAAGTGATTTTGCAGATTGGGTTGCTACAGGAGTCATTCCGTACCATAATTCACTGGCCACGTGCTGTGCGGACGCACCCGACGTGCGAGAATCGGTGAAGTATATTGCCAGTTTTTTTCATTCTTTGATGCTACGTCACAAAGCGACAACTGTTCAGATTGCATACTCTGCACATCACCTTCAATACCACATGGGTTTACGTCTTCCTCCAATAAATGTACCACTTGCAGCTCATCGTATTTGCGCTACAATGGGTTTCCCTCCTGAAGTCTATCGCCATTTTATATGGATTACGGGTTTCTTAAATGTTGAAGGTAAAATGACGGAATTGCCACTCTTACTCCAATCTGAGGTTGATGGGTATCCTAGATTTAGCTTAACACATACTCAAAAAGAGGATAAGGTTGATGCAATTCTTCAGACTGAGTTAGGTATTGTAGCTCACTTAGTTGTTGCAATTAAAATGTGTGCGAACTGGCACGAGTGGATTTACGAGCGGGACCAACAAGACAATGACAAAGAAGAGCGAGAGAAGAGAAATAAAGCACCACCCGTGACTGCGGTACACAACGCATATGATTTATCTCGGCGTGATCTCGACTCATTCATTCAATTCGCCAAGCAAGTTTTTATTGATCCTGACAAATCTGGAATCCCTGATGATTTTCAAGAACACGTGAAACAGCTGCAACGCATACAAGCAATCGACGAGTCACTTTTGTCCAACGAAGATCAAAATTTACAGCTGAAGCGGAATTCTCTGCTTGCTTATCCTGGTATTCACGTCGACGGGATTCTTGCTGAAACTGATGCAGAGATCGAAAAACGTCTACAACGTTTACGCTCTCGAGATAGCAATACTGACACTATTGACGACAAAGATAAGACAATTGATGCCTTCTTTTATCCCATTTACAATCATTCTCAGCGTACACCGCCGCATTCAGCGTACGAATATGTGCTTGAGTTGCTTTGTAGGAAAATTAACGCTCCTATTGCGCAAGTATTGCCCATACTTGCTAAACTTGACAAGCGAATGAAAAGTTTAATTTATCACTTTGAACGCACCAAGTATCACGTTGAGTTCCTGCAAGCAGGTCAAGCAAAGTGGAAAGCTGCCAAGGCAAGTCTTGCTCCAGTTATTAATGTGTCATCGCGGTCGCCAATACCTAAAAACAAATAGAAATCTCAGAAATTAGCAATCACTTAAAGCGTCGCGATCTTTTGTTCAGATTTTTCTCAAAATGGTAGGACCATTTGTTAGACGCACAGTTAATGAATTTGCTAACTTCTGACATGTAGACAACCTGCGCACAAGCCATTAAAGCGTGGGTAAGTATTTCAACAGTTCAATTCTTTTTTTCTCTGTCTTATTGTGGTCTATTAAAATATAGGAAGCTAAGAATGCGACTACGGCAGAAGAATCGAGTGTGATCAAGTTGTATTGCCAAATGCCCCCAATTGTAAAGCTGGATAACTCGCTTAATAGTCTTAAAAATTGCGAGTATGTTTTTCTTAAAGTACTTGTATCTGTGTACATCTCATGGATTTGGTGTTTGTACTGAAGGCAATTGTCGCTGTCAACGAACGCAATTGACCGTTTGATTCCTTTATCAGGCATGAAAAAACTACGAATCTTGTCATTAGGTCGGAATCAAATCAAAAAGATTGAGAAACTAGACGATAATGTCGATACATTAGAAGAACTTTGGCTATCGTACAACGTCATTGCGACACTCGATGGACTTTCAGGACTTTCGAATCTCACGACGCTTTTCCTGTCAAATAATCTGATCAAAAGCTGGGACGAACTGGATAAATTAGCGAGTCTACCCAAGCTTCGAGACGTGCTTTTCACAGGAAATCCCATATACGAAAATTTGAGCAAGGAAGACGCTCGCCTTAATGTATTAAAGCGGATTCCTCAAGTAGCTAAAATTGACGGTGACATGGTGAAACAAACGGAGCGTGACGCTGCGTTAGGGCAGTAGCTTTATCTCTCAAGAGAGCATTGTTTATATACTTTTACACACGACGTTCAGTTGCAAGTGCACTACGATTATTGCTTTTATTTACCATTCTTGAGATACGGGAGCAAGTAGCTAAAGTCCTTCTTGCCATGACCACCAGAAACCATCATATTATAAAGCTGGTGAACTTGGCATGTCAAGGGAATGGATACTTCGGCATGCTTAGCGCAATCCATCGCAAGTCCTAGATCCTTACGGTGCAGTTGTATAGCAAAGCCGCCTTCATAATTGTTCGATGACGGCACATTCTTCATCAATCCTGGGTAAGGATGATTGCTTTCATGACAACAATACGATTAGACAACCCATTAGCCGACTAAGTTATACAAGGAAATATACTGAGACTTACACGAGGGTAGACCAGCATGAGGATGTAGAGGTGTCCATGATGTTCTTGAGTACCTTTGGATCAATGCCAAGTGTCGTACCGAGATTCATCGCCTCTGCAACCGACGCCATCTGGATCGCGAGCGCTAAATTATTACAGAGCTTGGCAATTTGTCCAGTAGCTGATTATAACCTCACGTTAGTACAACAATACGTATCCAATACAAGAACTAATTCATTCTCACAGCTTCCACCACAATGTACCAGATTTTTGCCCATTGCTTTAAGCAGCGGCTTGACACGTTCGAATTCCTCCGGTTCACCACCGACCATGAACGTCAGCGTTCCATTCTGCGCACCTGCTACACCACCAGATACTGGAGCATCTACGAATGTCGCTCCACGGCTATGCAGCTCTTTGCTTAGTGTTTTAGTAAAGATTGGGTCAATCGTACTTGAATCCAACAACAAATGGTCGCTTCGAAGCGCTTCGTGCACGCCATCAGTGCCTAGATAGACATTTTCAACAGTCGCAGTAGATGGCAACATGGTGATGATGGTGTCGCATTTCTCAGCCACTTCGCGAGCATTTGCAGCAATTTGGGCACCTTGGTCTACATGCTTTTGGACATTAGTGGCCTCTGGGTCACACACAACGAGTTTGTAGCCATGTTTACGAAGATTATCAGCCATGCGACCACCCATTTGTCCCAAACCAATGACACCAACTAAATCTTTGGATGATGTGGTAGACAATGCGCGGGTTGACCGCAACGTTTGAGTAGATCGGACAAAAGTCTTACGAAACATGGAGAACTTTGTATATAAAGAAATGACACAAGCGAACAGAACTTTACTCGCAACTTCAAGTGGTGAATGATACGACTAAGTACGAGTAGACAGTTCTTTCTGCATCAAAGCATCTGATGCATCAGTCGATGTGCAGCACATTAGTTGTAATTTAAGTTTCTCATAGGCCACTATTGCAAAATTATTAGAAAAATCCAATTTTATTTGTGGCCGGCCAAAAAGGTAATTACATTTGTTTTATTGCTGCAATAGCATGCTAAGCACGAAACGAATTTAGTGCTGTCTGTAGTAAGTCTTACCTTTTCTCGAAAACTTTCAGACCGTGATAAACATGTTACTACAGAAATTGAATAAAGTAAATAAACAGCTGAAGGCTTGCTACAAAATATGGGATAATTTATTGGAGGAAATATAAGCAGGAAGAAAGTCAACAAAGTCATTCAAGGTGGTGTCATACACAATATCCTGATCAGTGCTTTGATTCAGGTGCAAGATCGCTGCCGGACTTAAAATATGGAAATATAACAATGTCATTTTGCGCGTCAATAAGATTGTAGTTGGTTTAACTTGAAGGTGATTGATGACGTGGTTGAATGTAACGCGAAGGTAAAGTTTGAAATCAAGAGGTGCAGTAAAATGCCATCTCTAAAGCTATAGTTCTTATTCTTCATCTCTCTTACATTAAGCGCTGTTCAGAACTATCGCTTTACATGAAAACATAGCAATTACTGTACGACTGGTAGCCCATTCTTCTTAGTTAATGACGTCTACGAGGAAGTCAAAAATGTCCGTGTTTCTAATGGCTGTTTGGATATCTTCTTTCTGCAGCGTCCGTCGTTTATTCTTTTCCGAGTAGCCCCACGAGCGTAGCGTCAGCTCAAGAATAAACATCTCGCAAGCCTTAGCAAACAATACAGGCGCTTCAGCACTTATCATGCGAACATCTTCGTCTGACTTCATAATGCGTTTAATGCGCGCAAGAGGCAGGTCGTTGTGATTTTTAAAATCTGCAACAAAGCCACACAGATATGTCAGTTATGCACATACCCACATCACCATGTGCTCTACAAGCACCTTGTTCACTACCAACTTCAAGCTGCTCCATTTCAAGCAGCTGCTTGGCCCAAAAAGCCTTAAGCTGCTGCTCCATTTGCAGTTGGTGCTGGGCCTGCTCGGCTTCTGTTAGCTCCACCACTTGTCCTTCCATTGATTAAAGCCTCGAGCGTTCTGAATGTGTCTTTCTTCTAAAACGATAAAGGAAGATAATGCGTATGCAATGCGACAATAAGACGCTTAAGGTTGCGAGACAAGAGGGCACTTAATGGCGCTATTCGACTTTCCAAGAAATGCAGTTTTTTCGGCTTTGTGGACCACAAATAATAATAATATATATGTGATCCACATCACTCTCTACAAGCTAACATGTTTGCTCATTTCTTTCTGAACATTCGACGGAGTCAGAAATTCAATTGATGATAAATGATTGACCTCCTGACCTACCCGAATGTTTGCACGCAGGCGCTGCAGCTGCATCTTCTTACTATCAATGGTGCCAAGCGGTTTTTGAAGTGACCATGTCGCTTCTTTTGTATTTGAAGCAATAGTCGTTGGAGAAGGTGGCCGAGACTCTACAAGCCGTAGTGTTGTCACCTTGTCCAGCGCAGTAGGTTCAGCGATAGTGCTAAGTTCATTCGGCTGGCTGACAACCCAAGAAGTATATTGCTGCGCTTCCGTCCCATCTGTGCTGGCTTCAAAGGTCTTATTTTGACACGGTGGTCTTGGTATCTTTCTCGTATGAGAGCATGACACCTTAATTCTCCTGCTCGATAGCAAAGGAGCCGAACTGCTGCGTTTAGACTGTACAATCAGGACCTTAGCGTTTGGAGTCTTCTCGGCTTCCAAATGTTCTCGATTTAATTTTATTGACGGTTCGACAACAGCCTCGTCGCGATAACGGGTGAATTGTACCGTAGTATTGATCACGATACAGGTGACAGGATGGAGAGATGTCACGACGATATTCATAACGTGTCCATAAAGCTATACAAAATAAGTATCAGTGCTTGATCCTTTCGCATTCATTGTACGTACGTCACTTGGTTGATTAAGACCTGGAAAATACATGAATGGATTAAAACGACGAGATAAGGCCGATCCTGGCTGCATGCTATTAAATAGCAAACAATTTTCGTCATCGGTCTAAATATGCACCAGATACTATAAGCAGGGCTTCGAGAAAAAGAATACACCGAAAACGATGCTGACCATGAGATCGTCTAGAAATACTGTCTGGTATGGTATCATCGACACGTTTGTGAAAGAGGCTTGAAAGCGCCAATTGGTCAAGCAACTGGGGTGAATAAGCCGAAGTTCCAGCATGTAAAAGGTTGGATCATGTACTCTCGACCCAAAATTCGACTGACTCTGGCTTATCGATTCGCCAGGAATTATTACATGATCGGGTCTTAGCGGCACTGTACGAGCCGTGGTAGTTTTATGGTCATGGTCAGAAGACTCCCCGGTGGCAGTTCTGGGTCGCTGGTGATGATTTTCGCGCTGAGATGTAAATTCGGTCGTGGCAAATCTGGAGGCTGTAGGAATAAAATAGTTTTCTGATTGGTGTGTCGAAGGGGTACACATCGCCGCTGACCGGCATCTAGTCGCTAGAAAAGTTTCATTTTTTCTAAAGTGGTATCCGATTGATCTTTTAGCTGGAGGTCGAGCGCTGTGAGAAGTAGCACGAAAGGATACTAACAGCAATAGCAAGATTATCCAGAATCGAGCTTATCAGACTAATCGAATAGAATACCTGAATCATTTCTATCATCGTCATTCTTCTGGTTCGAAATTCGCTTTTCAAGCAAACTCAAACCTTGTCCATATTTTCTATCTTGATCAAGCAAATTTGATCGGGGCACCTAAAACATGCAAAGTTAATCACAATCTCATTCACTGCACTTGCTATTTAAGTGTGACTCAGGCTTCACCTCATGACTTAATCGTTTAATTCTTTCTCCCATTTCTACGAAGTCAAAATCTTTTCTTGTAGATGGCTTTTTCGAGTCTTTTTGGTTTAAATCGATCCATTTGAGATTGTTTGAGCCTTGACTTCTGTCTCTTCTTCCATTCAAATCTCTTGGTTTCGACTGACAGTTTTTCGCTTTCTTTTCGAAAATATTTTTTTCTCGCTGATTCTTATTGTTCTCAATGCAAGAATAGACTCTGTCAGATGTTGTTTTCGCTCCATCTTGAATAGGTTTCTTAGGTGAAGCAAGCTTCTGTGCCGCCACAAGTTTACGTAGCTCTTCGGACGATGCTATTCGAGGTGATATACGGTTCATTGAAATGGAGAGCATCTCAATAGCTCGATCCAGCAATTGAAACTTAGCCTCGATAAGGCTGCAGGACATTTTCTTAAGAGATTACGAAACACTATGTACTATTTCGGTGATTTATCCAATCGTCATCTCTTGCTATTACTGTTTTAATAACTGTCTGTTGTGTCGAAGACAAGACCAGGTTGATTCTGATCATCGATTGATTCCTCGACGCTGCTCTGAATGCCAAAGCTACTGGAAAAGCTAAGAATTGGTCGATTGATCATCGTTGCAGGAGTGTGCCGAGATTTTGGACTAAATAAACCTACAGCTTCGTTTAAGGAGCTGACATTGATTGCTGTTGTTGGACAATTTTGCTTTCTCCAGCTTGTACGCGCTTGACGTTTCAATAGAAAATGCTTGAGCAATTCCATCTGCGTTCGCTCAGCTTCAGTGACTTTTTCAATATTTTTCACGCATGACAGTGGCATGGCATCGTCCTTTTATTCCGAAAAAGGTTGTATCAGTAAAATTATAATGAGTAAGACAATCAAATTCTCACCGCCGCAACTGCGTTCACATCAGCACCATATATGACAAGTAGATACGAAATGGAGTACAGATTTTTGCAGCATGCAACGTGTAAAGCTGTAAACAGATCGGATTTCCTTTGCCAGTTGACATCAATGCCAGCATTCAACAAAAATCGGATGAGAGGTTGTACAAGCTCGGCGCTGTGATTGCTGTCAACAGTTTCGATTATACTATGCAAGGTGTCCCACATGTAGCTTTGCTGAAGGTCGAAGCCATTCTGTAGCATGTAATGGAGAATGTCTAGTCTTTTTATTGCGCAAGCTTCCCGAAACATTCGCACGGCATAAAATGTTAACACTTGACCCTTTTGAATCAAAAGTCAATCACATAAGACTGCCACAAAGACAAAACATAGTTTTTAGCTTTGCGACTATTTACCTCTTGAAGTTGTTCGACTGCACACATCAAAGCACGTAGATTTCCATCGCGGACAATATTGACAAGAAATTTTCCATTGGCCACCAAGTTTGCTGCAGATTCTGGGTCTCGCTTACTCAACATCTGCAGACTCTTCATTTCATCGAGCGGACTCATTCGGCGGCGGAACACCATTCCGAACAAACTTAAGGTTTTCAGTTTTAGCTCAAAGTTTGAAATTCGGCGTCGCTTCAAAGATTTCAACTATATATCTAAGTACAATACAATAAACCAACGGGATGGTGTGATAACACAATGGTGTGGGTCACATTGTAATGTGATTATTTACACATTGGCGTGGGTTACACAAGATGCTGTGACCGAACAATGGTGTGGCTAACCTTAAACAACAAGAACAGAAATTATACTATTGAGATAAGAAAGCCTTTAGATTACACAAATAAACAAATAAATACAGTTTCAATTTTGAACAGGAGAGTACATTTGCCTTGAGATAAGGTTTTATATACTCTTGGAGGTAGCGGATTGCAATCCGCTACACTCGTACTGATTCCAATATAGAAGGTGAGGTCGGTGATCTAAGTAAACTTTCTCTAATCAAAGAGCTACGGCAGCCCCGCAGCACTTGATAGCACTTCGTTGGTCAATTCACGCCTGAGTCGTCACGACTGACCCTCTGCGAGGATGGTGCAGTTCTCCTATTCGCCCCAGGGCATGCAGGACGAGCTTCATAAGCTGATATCCCCGCTCGGCCCTGAGGGTGTGCAACACCTCGCTTCACAAGGACCTGAAGCGATCAGCGGGCGCCTAGAGGCATTTACAAGCTATGAAAATGCTCTACTAGAGCACCTGCAGCAAAAAATTTCGGCGGCGACTGCAACCATGACGCCACCGTCGGCGACGGACGACTCCTCCCAACCTAAGTCGCCATTGGTGAGTGTTAAGACCTTCGAGGGCAAGAATGAAGAGAATCTCCTGCTCTGGGCGAGGGAGGTCGAGATGGCTATGGCATCCTCCAAGCTCCAGACCTATCACAGCGCGTGGCGCTAGCTATCTCCAAGCTCGACGGTCGAGCGCGAGAATGGGCACTTACGTGCGGTACTTCGGTCAAAGCAGCGTTTTTCTCCTAAAAGAAGCTGAAGCTGCAGCTTTCACGAATGTTCACACCGCCTAACCAGGCATATCGCGTGCGATCGCGCTTCCTTGCCACACGACAGGGCAAGAAGGAAATGGTGGACTTGATCCGCTCTCAGTGCCATATGGTAGCCGATCCTCTTCCCGAGGCGGTCACAGTGAACGTTCTTATGGAGGGCTTCCGCACTGGTGTGGCCAGAATGGAAGTCTTCCGTGTGCACCTGTCTTCGTTTGAATAAGCAGTGAATGTGGCATTGCATACCGAATTAAATTTTAGTTTGGCACTTGGTTAGTATGTGCACCCTAGCAGCTCGTCGAGCGGGCCTGATCCGATGGATCTCAGCTATGCTGAGAAAGAAGAGGCAGAGCTCCGAGCTGCCGAGCAGCGATCGAACACCCGACGGTGTTTTGTCTGTGGAGACCCCCGTCATCTTTGGATGGTTGTCTCCTGCGCATGGCGCATCAAGGTTCATCAAACCGACGCCCCGCTTCTCACCAGTATTTTCCTTCGTCGTAGGAAAACGATAGCACCTGGGCGGCCTACCGAAAAAACGAGTTCTGTTCAGCCTCAATGGGCTAAAGACCAGCAGGGACCACCTTCGAAGAGCCCCGTGCGCTTGAACATGGAACAAGTATGCAAGCCGGGCTTGCTAGTCGTGAAACCGATAGTGGAGAGCAGTGAGAAGCCATGGACGACCCTGTTCGATTTCTGGTCGTTTGGCAATTATGCTTGATGCTCCACGATGAAAGGAAGTCAGCCGTCTGCTGAGGCGATTAAAGCGCGGTTGAGTGACATCGTCACTGTTCGCTTAGCGACGGGGACACGGGTCACGGTGCCGAAGCTCCCTGTGGACCTCGCTTTCAAGTTTCTTGACTTTGATAGCGTGGAACTCTGCATAGTCTTAAACTTGGAGTCAAGGTATGACCATCCTTGTGATGACATGGTTGGAAAAATAATGAGCCATGGATCGACTGGAGGTCGAATACCTTAGGCGCTACGTGTACGTCTCTGGTGGGGCTTTACCGACCTTTCAACTCTTGGTATGTAGCAACTGCTTTGATACTTGAACAGTACTTAGTGGGCTACGTGCCACTAAACGTTCAGCCCGCGACCTATGCTCGGGACTTCGGTCCGATACACCTTCGGTGGATATTCCGATTTTCAGCACGCTCACCGTGCCCGCACCAAATAATTTTTTGCTTTCTAGCAGAAGCGGATTCATACTCACCCAAAGGCCAAGACATCGAGGGCAAAGCCCCAGTGATGCAGGTGGGGTGGCACATAATTCACTTAGTACTGCTCACGTCTCCAAGCAGTCGCTGCATGCCATGAGTGCTATGGTCGGACGAGGTCCGGGGAATCTTGGACAAGGCTCTTCAGATGCGCGCGGGGTGGCACGTTATCCACTGGAAGAAGACTTCAAAACTAACAGCTCTTTGTCGGATGTTGTTAATAACATTCGAGCTCCGATGGAGCAGGAAAAGGGGCTAACACTGGACTACGCTGTGCGTGTTCCCACTGGTCTCGCCGAGACGTAAAACATCTGTGGAGAGGTGACACCGACGCCGGATGCTAGCTGCAGGACGAAGGGCGTCGACCCTAACCCAGAATGTGTCTACCTAGACGATCGCGCACAGCGAAACACCCTTGTCAACGGTACAACGGGCAGCGACGTCACCCTCGAGGCGATTCCTGCCGTGGATGCTTATCTTGAGCTGGACGAGATATCCTTCGAAACGTTTGGCAGTGCCTTAAAGGCAGGCGACTTAGCCGAAGTCGCCATTAAACCACTGGAAGAAGAAAATAACTCATCGTCGCTTCTGGATGAAGCTATCCTGGAGATAACAATGAAGGTGCAAAACACACAAATTGAATCTTTGAATCCCTCGAATTCGTACTACCCATCGGAGAAGAAATTTCATGACGCCGTCCCCCAAAAATCGCGATCAATCCTTCCTCCGGACCGAGGTGTGCGTCATGAGATCAATCTGGTCCCGTGAACCAAATACTGCTTAGCACGCCAATGGCCTCTTCTTAAGGAGCAGTGCGACGTCATTGGCACCTTCTCCAGTGCGAAGCACGACGCAGGAATGGTGCTTGAGAGCAAGTCTTCCCATTTGAACCCACGTTTTTTGTCCGGAAACCGGAAGCCGAATGGCAAGTGGCGTATCGTTCACGCTTATAATAAGCTCAACGCTGCCACCATTTCGGCACAGACGCCGATTCCTAGATAGGATGTTCTATAGAGCAACATGGTGGGGTGTACGAAGTACATTTAACTCGACTCGGTCGATGGGTATTACCAATTTCTCATGAGGGCGAGTGATATTCCGCTGAAAGCGGTGGGTACTCTGAGCGGGATGCTCTGGGAGTGGCTGGTGATGTCATAAGGGCTGTCAAATGCACCAGCAACATTGAATCGTCTTGTGACGCAATTGTTTAGGCCACAATCAAATGTAGGCACAGCCACACTTTGATAACATCTTCGTCCACAGTCGTGCCGGACGCGGGAGGACAGACGTGGGAAGCCACATCGTCCATTGTAGAGCGGTGTTTGAGTGCATGCGCACGAATAAGCTGTATGCTAATGCCGATAAGTGCATATACGGCGAATTGATCACATAATGAATCTTGATGCTCGGAAGAAATTCTATTCTTAAGGTGCTCCATTGGGAAACGTGGCCCTAAAGCGTATTCCGCTAAGGTCAAGGCCATTGTGGACTGGCCGGTTCCAAGAAAACGAAAAAGACTCGCGCAAGTGGCTTGGCCTCGCCAACCACTTGCGAAATTATAGCGCAAACTATGCGGGAATAACGCCATTGTCTAATCTCATTTAGAAGGATAAGAAATGGCGTCAGGACAACAAGCATCGGGAGGCTTTTCACAGGGTCAAAGACAGCCTCCTTTATGCACCGATACTGGCGTTACCAGAGAAACGCCAATCTTGTCTTGAGTGCTACACGTTTTGGCAGATGTGATTCTTCAAATTTTTATATCCTCGAACGATTTAAACGCTGTATTTCTAATGTTCGGCTTGCGCTTTGCTCAAATAAACCTCTGCTTTGAGCGTAAGTATAGTCACACTTTTCTTTGCGTTCTCCTTCCGTTTACCTGGCTTTGTCAGCCATCACTTATACTGTAAATGTATCATATTCCAAATCGAGCATATTTGTAAAGCGTGACATTGAAAAAGTGCATTGCGTTTGGGTCCCATTAATTAGCACTCGTGACAGTAAAGTAGACTATAATTTGATTCGATCGAGAAGATTTAGAAAGTGACGAGTATCGGTGCGCTTCAGCTCGTCTTGCTATTGTCAAAAGAGCCACGAGCGAGTACGATTCCTCAATTCACATGACGAGTGTGCATGCTGCTGGCGATTCAGCGAACAGCGCCTCTGTGCATTGTGTAGAGATACAAGTCTCCAAACAAGTTCACTTGATGATTGAAAACTCACAAAGCGCCAACAGTATGCAGATTATGTTCGTTTCAAGCTTGATACGCGCTTGCACAACATTTTGCTCTTTATCTGATAGCACTTGCAGTGTTCCATCATTCACCGGTACACTCGCGGTTCTGAGATCCAGACCATTCCAAATGCTGCCACAAAAGGCTGCAATGCAATCAAGACAGAATTTTGATTGTCCTCTGACTGTGCACATGAATTGCGGCAGTTACTTCAGCATGTTGCTCCGTTCTCACTCGTTTGATCAATAAGGCTCTACATCGCTTTGATCGAAATAATGCACTGCTTGACGAACGGAAAGCTATCAAAGATAAAAAGCATTTGTTCCGCATTGACAATTATCTTTGCTTAGTTCAACTGCAACTTGTATTTTGAAATCAGCTTAGACATTTCGGGGTATCATTAGTGTACAGAAAACCAAGTGATAGAACAATTTGGGACTGTTATTTGACGATCAAAGTTAGCAAATTATCGAAAAATAGCCCGGCTACCTGCCCGACAATCTGACTTTCTAATTTAGCAACCCCTGCTCAAGTAACTCAAGTACCTTCTTCAGTTAAAATGGGGCCCGTTATCACCCAGACCTAGGCAGACCTCATCGTCCTGATGTCGTGCTTCCCGGAGTAAACTTAACTATCTCCGACTGCACCCAAAGGGGACAGGTGGCATAAGCCTTCAGCAATGTCAGGTTCTGGGGCCGGAAGAGGACAGCGACGGATTGAAAATTGTGCTCGGTGAAGGCGGATCAGCGCTACCATTTCGAACAGCACGAGGGCTGCAGGTGATGCTCCCGAATCCAATTTGGCGGAGGTACTTCTAGCAAGCCAAATTGACAACGCGATTATAGTTATCGGCAGACGTGAGGTGAAGCGCTAACTCGATGAAGTGTATACGAAAGAAATTGCTCCATAGACCTAGGTGATGCGGCCATTCAAACAAATTCGGCGGCATAGCTAATTGTAATCTCACTATTCACAAGTGTATCACCCGCAACTCATGAATGTTCAATATCATCGCTGACACCGAATACAAATTCAGTTTATCAAATGGCATCGACATGATTCAGAAGCTTCTCTGTTTTGAAACATTTGCACGGCTGTCGACAACCCGAGAAGAGAACCTTCGGGACGCGACCAGTATAAGACTTCACCTCTTCAAAAGTATCACTAAACAAGCGAGATGCCACGACGATGCCCAATACTTTTTTGGAGCTTCGCATAAAATCTAGCATCAAAACCTATTCAGCAATAACTTCACTGGTGTTGCTGGCCAATTTGCAATTGCGAGGTATATACTTCCAGAAGTCGACGGTGTGCAGATTTAAACTTCAACATTGTCGGATTATTCACGCACAAAATGCGAGCGCTTTGCTTTGCGACACACACGATAGCGAATGAGGACATCATTGGGGTGAAGGAGATTAACCTTGATAATATTAAGTAGATCAAATCCAAATATCGCCTATTAGCATTTCGCTTCGAGTACGGCATTTCGATGCAAAACATTACACAGACATGAAAATAAAATTAGAAAATGATCGACTAACTGATTAAAACTAAGTTATGAAAGAGTAACATTGCGTACAAAGGCATATGAAGAGTCATTGATTTCTCTTTCACGACAAAAAGAATATTATGTTATGTTACAAGTAACCTAATTTGATGCATCTGGTGGTGAAGACACGTTACTGTAAACTTGGTCTTGCACATCATTCCAACGTCAGCTATGCTGTAGAGTTATTTTCAGAAATCGCATAAATACGTCTAGTGCGGGAGCAAGACCAGATTTCAATTATGGGGTTAAGCAGACTCACTGTATCTTTCCCTTAATTAAGATCATCTCAAAATAAAAAAAATCATATTATTTTTTGCAAACTCTTCTCATTCTCGTGTTCCTGCAGTTTAATAAATTTAGTGAAGCAAGGGAATTTGAGACGTTTCCAAACGAACATAAAAAAATGTCTTGGTAAATACTTTTCAAAATCAATACTTATCACCAGATCTGATGCATTTAAAAGCAACCGGTATTTTGTCTCATAAAGGCAAGAATATTTTTACAAAAGTTGTTTTAATCACCTGGTTTAGTTCTCAATATCAAGTAATAATTGCAATGCATTTTTATCTGCAAAAAAAGTTATAAACGTCTTTAAAATTCATTATTCTGGAAACGTAGCGGCAAAGACCGTTCAAGCCATATATCATATAATTTGATCAGGAGCTTTATGTTCTGTTGTTTTAATGATAATATCCGAAGTGAAAAAGGGGATGATGTCCCTACTAGAGGTTGCTAAATGTACACCAAATTACTCTACCGTACTTATGTTAGAACTGATTTGTAAACCATAAAAAAGTCGAGGAAACCTAGATACTGGATCGGCAATTCACGTTGACCCCTAGAAACCGTGTTACTAAGCTTCTCCTTTGAGGGATTTGAGCACTTTAACCTGAAAGTGGGGTCACCCTGCCTTGCACTCAGCACTTTTTTGAGCTCGTTGCTGTATAAGTAGAGTCAATCTTATGCACCTAAATAGAAATAAAGTCGCAACATCGTACCTCAAAAGTAACGCGAGACTTCATTCAGCACTTTTGAATCTATAGTAAACTAATCTTGAATCAAGAACAATTTTATAGTCAAATATAAATACGTCCAGTAGAGGTTATTGAAATTACACAGCATTTAAAACAAATTAAATCAAACAAAAACTCCCATGAAAGTCTGACTATAATAATCCCGGATTTAATTATGTACAGCTCGGCTGCAACGTTTGATGACTACAATCGCCGTATCTGCAGCACCGTTGATATCGTGCTAGCGGCGGTTTTGACCAGAATAATATTTGAAAAAATCTATACTCCAACGCGATAGGTCCTTTTATTCAGCTGAAGAATATGGTTACACTGCTGAAACGGGATGATTCCATAGCGATTGGGAGTCCTTCGTTCAGTTAATGAGTAGGTACGATTTTTTCAAATATTATTCTGGTCAAAAACGCCGCTAGCATGATATCAACGGTGCTGTATTCTTAAAATAAGTGTTGAGTTGTGCGCAGTAGAGCGCAAAATGTGAAGTGAATATATTTTAGGTCCTTAG